AGTATATGTCTGATATGGAAGGGAAGGACCAGTGGAATCATATGGAGTTCGAGACCTCTCCTTGCTTCACCGGTGCCTTCTGTCTGCTTGTACTCTTAAAACTATTAGCAAACCTGGATTCTATGTAAGATCTCTAACAAGTGGGTCTGATATGATTTTTTATCATAATATGACTGTCACAAATAAAAGATAAAACTGTCAAACATAATTATAGTCTAAGATTAACAACTGCCTTTAATACAATTACTTTAGGAGAATAAATGAACTAAATGTTAATTTGACATAGCTAATTCACAAAGTACTATATACTTACAGGATATAATAAGGCAACTTTTACCCTGCGGAAAATTTTTTTAAAGCATTCATAGGAAAAAAACTTACTAAAAATCACAGTATGTGAAATTATGAAAAAAAGACCTCAATAAATGTTCTAAAAGCATATATAACCAGATGTATCACATACATCTAAATAGTATATAAATATACCGGGGGTGCCAAAAAAATGTATACACATTTTAAGTGATGTTACCTATGTATAACTTTTTGAACTTGAATTATGGTAGCTATGTGTAGCGTGATGTTAGCTCAAAAGATGGCATTAGTCAAATTAATGCAGTGGCAACTAGCGATAGACAGGACAGTCAAAGAAAATGGCAGAAGCATGGTTGTTATTCGAGGAGCGCAAGACCATTTTGCAGAAGTACTGGAAATTCAAGAACACTGTGGAAATACAACAATGGAGGCATGAGTATGCAACAGAATCTCCAGCACACCTAACAACCGCACACATCTGTGATGAGTCTGAGATGTGTCGCACTGTATGTGATGTGCATTAGGGATGATATGGGAGACATCACACTGTAACAAGTCGTGCAGTAGTTCACTATAATCAGTAGTGTCTGAAAGCTGATAGTAAGCACTTTGAGCACCTGTTATAATTATAGAAGTCAAATGCTACGTGTATTCATATTGAGCATTACAATTTTAAAACAGTTTTTTCCTTTCTTAAAATGTATATACATTTTATTAATTATTTATATTTATATGATGATAAACCTCCAATCCAAGGAGTGTGTGCAGCCTAGAATACTTCTGAACATGTCCTTTGAAACAGGATTCTACCTGTTTACATAGTTGTGGTGAGGTTCAAATGATATGATATGGTTATATTATTTTGATGATGTATAATTTTACCTGATTTTACATAACACCTCTATAGATTATAATCTATACAATGTTTCCTATTCGTGGTCCACGAATGACAGCCACTTAGATATAAGTTTCGAAGAAGCATGAGACAAGGTGATCCAAACTGCTGATATAAGTTCAAAGAATGGTTTTAATAATAGATATGAGCACATAAAAAAAGGGGAATAAAGCAAAAGAGAAATAATTTTAAAATAGAGAAGAGATAGCAGGCAAAACAATGTCTCACAAAAGGATATACAGTTTCTTGTCTTATAAAAATATTCAGGATAGGAAGAACCAATAGCCTCAGGAAAAAAGGGCAAAAAAGGCAGATGTAGGCAACTGTATATTTAGCTATGAAGCACTAAAAGTAACCTTCTCAAAGTTTCCAAAGACATATTGCACATCTTTAGGCCTTTTTTCCCCTAGAGGGCACATACCATATTTTTAAAATTATCTCATTCAATCTCTAAGAGAGTGAGCCTAGATATATTTTAGGATCTTACAGAAGCAGTAAAGAGGCTAACATCATTAGCTTTATAGTCAGTTCTAGAATCTGACGCTTAACAATCATCTGACCTTGGACAAGTTGCTTAATTGCTCTAAGCTTCAGTTTATTATTCTGTAAGACAGGAATAAAAATGGTACCTGCCTCATGAGATAGTAACACATAATATACTGCCTGGCAAATAGTAAATGCTCAGTAAAAGTTAGTTATTATCTTTATTATTGAGGAAGGGATTTCTTGCTCATTTTGAATAATTTCAGTATACAGGAACCCCCGAAACAATTTATTTATACAACATTTGTATTTATTCTTACATGTTTAAATTTCAGTCACCTTCAAAGTATTCTCCTATCAAGACACTTTTTCCACTGCTCAAAATAGTTTTTGAACTCATTAATTCTGATGCCTTCTAGTGCTTCTGCTGTTTTTTGTTTCACCTCTTCCACATGGGCAAAACATTTCTCTTTGAGAACTTTCATCCAGGGAAACAAAAAAACAGCTGCTCAGGGCAAGATTCAGTGAATAGGGAGGGTAGGACAGAAGAGGGTCATACTGTTTTGGGTCAAAAACTGCTGAACACTCAGCACGGTGTGGGTAGGCGCTCTGTGATGGTGGAAGAACCAGTCACCTGTTTGCCAGAACTAGGGATGTTTCTTCTGCAAATTGTGACCCAACCTTCTCAAAGCTTCCAGAAACTGTATGGTTAACTGTATGATGTGGAGAAATAAACTCCAAGTGTACCACAAAGTGCCCACCCTCCAAAAGATAACTGGGTTTTTTTTGTGTGTGTGTCCCCCTCATATGCTTTAATTTATCATCTCCTTCTCCAGGTAAATAACTTAGGGATGCTGATAAGCTACTTTAACTTCCAAAGAAAAAGGAACCATTTTAGAACCAGTACTTTATACTAATATCAAAATTAAAAGTAGGAATACTATTAGAGAAGACAATACAGACCTGGTATTCATACATCATAGTCTATAAAATTAGAATCTATAATTTTATACTATCATAAAGATCAGGCATTTTTTTTTCTTGGCCAGAAAAAACAAACTCCCATTTCTAAAAATATCACAGGTTTTCTTCTTGAGGAAGTCATCTTGTAACAAAATACCCTATTATCATAGAAAGCAAGTATAGGGCAGTATGTCATGAATAAGACTACAAAAATATAGTGGTATATGAGCCAAGAAAAAACAATTCCTCTGGAAAAATAAATAAATAGAGGTTTTCCCCAAATTTAATGGAAACTCTGAGGTTTTTTTGTCACTATTTCTTTGATACTCCCAAATATATGATAAACAATTCTTAAGGAAATGACAATGACCCTTCGATTAAGAAAAATCCCATATGTATTTGCTTCTTTTAGAAAAAAGACCAAGTTTGTTAAAAAAAACAAAAAACAAAAAAACCCCCACAAGTTAGGAATGAAATCTGACACCTAAGAAAAGCAAATGTATGGTCTTTCTAGTATTCTTTTTAATTCTGGCTTTTATATTTAAATTTAATCCTGTTTTTAAACAGCATTACAAAGGAAGTTAAGTCAGAGTAGTCTACGACCTACTCTAACCCCTGCCAAAAATTCAAGAGACACACACATATATACTGTAAATTTTATGAATTCAAGGCGCATATAAGTTATGAATTCAGGCTATCTATGAGACAACAATTTCTAGCGGTCTTTTATAATCACAGGGGAAAATAGAAAACAAAACAAACTATGGCAGTGGCACAGTAAACTTGTAATCCTATGAACTTTATCACTCAGTCTGATTTCTCTTTGCTGATGAGATTTTACAAAAACTGAAAACAAACTTTACATACAGATCAAATAGGATAACTTTTCTAATTAACTGAATCAAATTCATTATTGAGAGTTACAAAAGGGAGATATTCTAGAGATTTTAGGTCTTTTGCTCACAAACTCATCTACACTGAATATGTTTATTACATATATTGCATTCTTTCAATGATAAAATAAAATCAGCAATTATATAGTAGTTCAAAGCCTCTGAATAATTTAGGACCACAAAAATAACTATTCAGAAGAAATTACAGGGAAAAATTTAGGTAGGCAATGTAATTTAGTAAGAACCTTGGTTAAGAGAAAGTAAAAGAGAGATAAATTGTAACTTCCTATCTTAGTGCTATCCTCAAAACAGACATCTCTAATGATTTATTTCTTATAAGAATGTCATGGAAAAAAAGTTTGTGAAAAGGCCTAAACAATATACAAACCAAAAGAGACAAATAATCACTAGGAGTAAAATACAGCTTTTCTTCTTCTTTTTGAATGACTAGATAAAAGGGACTATAATTTTTGAGAGAAAAAAGAAATTCAAGTGGATTCCATGAATTTTGCAGTCCTGTGGTGGTAGGGGAGGCAAACACAAGAAACAAATATACCTAGTATCAAAGAGTCATTCCCTATTATCTGATTTTATTCAGATTAACTGGAATAACTTTGTTTTATTAAACACGTTACCATCCCTTTAAAAGGAGGAAAGGGTGAGAAGCTTTGATAACCTAATTTAGATAAAATACTGCTAGAAAACTCTCTTGCTCTTTTATCTAACTAAAAACTTGAAAGTTATACCAAAATATAATAGTCAAACATGCATGCAAAATGACCCAGCAATTAAGATAATTGTTGGTACCAAGTGTTGTTTTTAAGTTCTACAATAAAACAGTCTTCCAGACATTTAATGGTATGTCATTTGGTAAATGAAAGTTTCCACAAAATAAGAGCAGCAAGAAGACCTAAAAATTATGCTAGTGAAGAGTCTGGTTGAAAGAAAAAAAAAAAACAATAATATGGGTCATGCTGGTCTAACACTAATTTTATTTTATTTCAAGTGACTACAGAACTAAATAAAATGCTGACACCATCACATAAAAATTTATTGAGCTGGCAATAGACGAAGCATGATGTAAGCCGCTAATATCACCATCCACATTCCCGAATAGCATGAACACTTTAATTCTTAAACTGAGTTCATGCCTAACTTATAGTAAAAATAAAAACCTTAGGCACAAGGCACTATTAAACATAGATGAGTTTAGTTTGGCAAAATTTTGACTCAAATTAGTCTAGCACTTTAACAAATTCAGTTAAAAACATGGAAAAATACAAGCTTAAATATGCTACAATTTTCTAAATGTGCCACATTCTTCATCAAACAGACCCATATAAAATAAGTCAGGCAATTCTCAGGAATATTCAAATAAGTAATACCACCCACAAAATGCAGGTTAACAGGAGATGTAGCAACATATATACACACAACCCCACACAAGTCCTTACCTTTACGGCATGAATTTCTTCAAGCAATCGTTGTGCCCTTCTTTGGTTTTTTAATAGTGCATCTTCAGTACCCCTGCAAAAAAAATAAGTTACAATATATAGCTAGGCAAAGCACTGATTTTAGACTCGTAATAAAAAGTTTCTTTACTTCTTGTAAAAAAACATAATAAATCTCTAAATAACAAATACTCCCCCATCCTTCATTGCCTGTTCCCCCTTCCTCCCAACATACACCCCAACTTCATAAAAAAATCCAAGTGTTGGAAACTGGCTAAAATAAGCATTGTCCTGGTATTACATGACTATTACCACTGATACATAGTTTGGCTTGCCTAGATTTTTAACAGGAAGGTCAAGAGTATTTTTATCAATCAACAGCACATTGTATTTAATGCAATAAGCTACAGTTGAGGTTTGGACAAAATTTTATCAAATAAAAATTAGTTTTCTACAATTTATGGAAAAAATAAAAGAGGACTATCTTCTAACACATTTATGAAAGAAAAAAATATTATCAGGAACAAAATACACTTGAAGATTTTCTAAGAATTCATGCCTAAATCAAAACTATAAATAAAATACTTTCTAACACCAGTGATGCTGAAAGTAAAAAATATTATTTTTTAAAAAATTACATGAAACACAATGTTCTGATAAACACTTCCACAGCGTATTGAAGATTTCAATTATTTCACAATTTGAGGAAAATGTTATATAAAATCTTTCAAATTGATTCAAGGTGTTACTATATTTGCCAAACTACTTTTAATATCTTAAAATAACTAATACCATAAAACACATAACTCCAAGAAAAATTCATTCTGAAAAGACCAAATGGAGAGTTTTGGAAAAAAAAGCAGAATTCATCCTGTATCCCAAGCAATTATGGTCCAAACCATAGGACACACTGACACAGCACATTCTATCTCATTCAGGTCATCTCTACATATAAAACAAAATGATGTATGAGTAAGACATTTAATTACTCCTTTATATCCCACCCTTGGATTTTGTAAACACTGAAAAAGAAATAACTTGTGACATTTTATTAGCCACATTATTTTAAATGACTAACTTTTTTGACTTCAGTCTGCCAACGCTCCTGACAAGTTTTCGGATGACTAAAACTCGGACTCTCTTCACTTCTTTTCTCATCTTCACAACCTTTGAAGAATAAAGCCAAAATTAGAAAGGCACTAAATTCAGGAACAAACACACTTTATTTTCAGTCTTAATATTATATCGACAGCCTACCACTTTAACTAAATTTTTGTTTAACTGTATTCATAGAGTGATGAAATCAAACTTCTTCCATAAACAGTGAAGGAATAAATCAAGTCTTAAAATGTGTCAGAAGGCTTAAGAGAAACAACTTAAGATATCTTAAAATGTCATAGCATTCTCAGTGATTAGTTTTGTTGTTGTTTTTTCAGAGACAGGGTCTTGCTCTGTTTCGTAGGCTGGAACATTGTACATGGCATGATCATAGCTCACTATCACATTATCCTGGGCTCAAGTGATATTCCCCCTTTGGTCTCCTAAAGTGGGATTACAGGTGTGAGCCACCTTGCCCAGCCCCAGTGACTAGCATTTTAATTTTATACTTATATCTTCTTGGGTTTGGAACATAATAAACTGTCAGTTCCCTCAGATTACAGACTGCCATATTTATTTTTGTATTCTTTGGGCTTAAAACAGAGCTTCACCCATAATGGTAAAAATTTAATTTATTAAATAAATGTTTGAATTAACAGAAGCAAACACATGAAAGCTATTTATTTAACTTTTAAAGCAGTGCTTTCACTTAATTTTTAATAATAAATTATCTCATCATTAACTTTAAAAGAACCTCCACAAACACAAAGGTACATTATATGCACACACACACACACACACACACACACACACTCGTACGCCCACATATAGATACACTTTAAATCATCCTACTAGAGAACAAGGTGACCTCTAAGAGCAAAAAACATAACTATAGTCCCAGACATGGAAATCTTTTAAATATAAAGAACTAAACACTATAATGGCATTCAGAACAATGGTATGTCACCACCAAGTTTATGTTTCATCTCTCATGGCTAGGAGTCATACGTCTTATAATTCCTCCTGGAATGGCCTTCTTCCCCTTCTTCACTTTACAAACTACATAAAATTCAGTTCTGATAAAGTCTTTCCACTGAAACCTTTAATGACTTCTTCAGTTAGAGATAACCACCCCATCCTTGGGGCCTCCAATACACATTATTATAGACTCTGTTATCAAAGCATCCATCTCACTGTATTGTCACTAATTGCTCACATGGCTGTCTTTTATGATAGACTGTGAGCTCCTAGAAAACAGGAGCCTTGCAATAGTTACGTCGTGTTTTCTGTGCCTTGCAAGAGTACCTGACACACACAATTCCTCAAAATCTTTTTGCCAAAAGAACATTATCAACATCATTCTATTTCTTCAAGGCTCTTGTGCCTGGCGATAATATCTTCTCTCTTAATTTATGTCATTCACCTTCTTTTTCATTGAGGATACTGGCAACCAATTTAGAACTTCTTTTCATCCTAAGCCATCATTCTGTGACTCACATGTCCAACTGAATATAACCTATCCAATAATCATATCTTCACTTCTTATTTTCTAATAATCTAATCTATTCCATTTTAGCCACCCATGTCCATGGTCACACTAGTTGACCTTGTCATCACTTATACCATTTTGAAAACCACTAATTCAAATCTTCCACAATAGGATCACAACTACTTTTATCAGTTTGCTTGTTGAACTCCACCACCACAAACATCTTTGACTACACTGCAGTTACCAGTTCCCTGACTCTTATACTTTCTCTTAAGTGATCAGTCTCCTTTTAAATGTTCCTCCTTTCATCCAGTTTAGATAGGAGATCAGCACTTGCCAATACCTCGAACTCCCCTCTGGTTAGCAAAACCTTAATTCTGGATGAAACCAATATTCTTCATGACCACACACCAAATGCAAGGAGATACTTGCAACCTTCTATCTACTTAATAATAATGAACCCAAATGGATCCCACCAGTTCCTAGCAATCCCATCACATTTTCCTGGTCAATTCATTCTACAATGACTATTTTAAACTTTTTTACACTCTCCTAAATCCTCTCGTTTCCTTTCTCCCCTTTTTCAATTTCATGGAGAAAATAATTATGAGTTAGGAACCACCATCCTTCTACCAGTCTGAATGCAAATTTACTTACATCTCCCATTTTCCTCTATTAATAAAGTTACAGTAAAAGAAATATCCTATACATATCTGAGGTTAATCTTTTAACTGCATTTTGACGTTCATCTTTTTCTGCCTTCCTAGAACCTTTGTTACGGATTACTATGATTTCCCTCTACTCCAGCATTGTCATTTTCCTTTTATTGAATTTGTTTCTCACTGATTTTTAAATATGCATGAGCCATTTTCATTAAAGACAAACACAACATCCTCACTACATAGTTCCCCAGGACCCTCCTTACCTGCCTTGAGAGCTATTAGAACTCACTATCTCCGTGTCTGCATGCCACACAATTCCAGCTTTTAAAAAATCTCATTAGTCTTACTAAAAGCTGTCACTGAGGACATCCAACGATTAAAAAAAAAAATACTGAATCCAATAAAAATGTTTTAGATTTCATTTTATTTGAAATCTTAGCAGTATTTGACATTGTTGATCACTTCCTCCTTCCTGAAACATTCTTCCCTTGGTTCTCCATGACTGAAATCCAAGCTTCTGATTTTCTTTCTTCCTTTCTAGTCACCCTTGATCTTCTTTAAAGATTCATCTACCTCTGTCAAGCCATAAAATGTTAGAGTTCAAGGGGCAGTCCTAGGCCAGTGCTCCTTTCAAAATATTCTTTTTAGCTTTAAGAGACCTTATGTGTGCAGCATTGGTTTCATTTGACATCTAAACAAAGATGGCTCAAAAAACTTTACCTTCAGCTGAGATGGTTCTTTTAGTTCTAGACCAAAATTTGCAGTTGCACAATTGACATTTCTTTTTGACTGTGCTCAATACACCTCAAATTCACTTATAAACTCATATTCTTAACCCCAACTGGATCCCCCCCCCTTTTTATTGGTGTTTCATATTTCAGAGAATGGAGCAATACTTTTAGTTATAAACCTAGGGGTTATAATAGGTAGCTCCCTTAAATTCGTTGCAATGAATCTGTAACCAAATCCTGTCAATTTTATCTCCCAACGAACCTTCAACCCATACCACTTTGTTTTTTCTATCTTAACCTTTTAACATATTTTAGCTGATTATGTTTAACGTGTCCTTTCCTAAGAAGGTTATCAATTCCATGAAGGTCATGTATCTGGTTTTACAACATTGCAACTTAACCTCTAACATAGTGCCTGGCATATAATATGTGTTCAATAAACACGTGGTTAAATAAGTGACCAGAAATGTAGTAATTCAACTGAATAATATATCAAAAGAATGCAGAATCATCAAGTTTCTTTCTCACTAGATATGTTAACTTCTTTGGAATTTGTTTCAAAGTTAGATCCATTTTGGAAAAAAAAGTCATACACTGCATAAATGAAAAGTCATTTAGATAAGGTTTAAGTGAAAGACAACTACTGCATTTCATAAGCAAAATTATAAGGGTTTGTGACATATTTTTTGAAAGTTAAGTCATTCATGAAATAAATTAATAGCAAGTGATAAATGATGCGTTAAAATAAATTAACAAATGTTTCTAACTGCTGAACTTCACAGGTGTATCAGACAATAATATGCCATTTGCTAACCACCGCTAACCAAACTGAACTAATAAATTGCAGTGGTCAGAGTTGGTACTTGGTTACATTCCAATCATGGGAAAGCTAGTCTTCAATTTTAAAATTCCAATTTAAGAAGTACTATGTTTGTCAATACCGGATACAGAAATTCTAAAAGGAAAGGGAATGCTTCATGTACTTAGTTTCATGCCAATACCAATATGCACTATTGTCTTATTAACTTTTCAGTGAGTACAGGTAGTAAAAAATTTTGAAAAGTTAGTGTCTTAAAAAAATAAGTATTTTCACTTTATGTAAAAATGAAATTAAAATTTTATTTTTCTCACAACTGCTCTCTTCAAGCACTTTAGCCTTCTCTACACACTTAGATTTTTGCGAAACTGATAACCAATAAATAGCCATTAAGTGAGGATTTAAAGGCTGCCAATTCATTTGTCACCCAGGAATTATGAATTTGGCTGACAGATGACCCAGAAGTCAACAAATGGGCTTAAACACCCAATATCACCAGAAGGTCAATGTATTGCTTAATGGCAATACACACTGGCAAATTCTCTGAGCAAAAGCAAGCAGAGCTAATTGCTAACATTGTGAAAAAAGTATAATTTTTGCTAGGGAGGGAGAGAAGAATAAATGAATTCTATAAGCAAGATGAAAACAGAGGCATAATACAAATGAAATATGGTGACAGACAGAAAGAAAATGGAAGAGAAGTAGAAGGAAATCGAATTTGAAGACAGAAATTGAAAGAAAAATTTGAGGCTATTATCACCAAAACTGATAAAACTAAGCTGAGGGCTTCCAAACAGCAAGATAATATATTTAAGATAATCTATAAGATCAGAAGAGAGTTAAGATCTACACACACAGAGCATATATATGTGCTGTCAGTGAGGTGTCACCTAGAACTTAGGCACACAGATACCTTCAGAGTCGACCTGGTGAAATCTGAACACAGTCAGGGCACCTCTTGGGTAGACAGAACAAAAATATGACCATAAATAAAGTGGAAGTCTAATATAGTTGTTTGGAAGAAGGCCACATGAGCAGACTGGGAAGAGTCAACAAAAAACCAGAAAGAGAACCACAGAGAACAAAAGCTGGGAGTGCCCAACACAAGAAAATTCCAAAGAAAGGGTTTCCCAGCTCAGACTTGAGCAATCCAATCTGTTCTGGAATAACTCAATAACAGGGACAGATCACAGTTCAACGCTGAATCATACAACTAAAACCCCTTTCTGCAGTTCTATATACCAAGCAGTTGATGATCAGTAACTAGGAAAAGACTGTTTGACAGTGTGGCCGTTATCATCTGTATCAGACACATTTCTTAATAAACTACCTTCTCATTCACACAGTCTCTTATAAGCTTATGTTTAATG